GATGGGTCAAAGGACAGTTAAGGAGCTACTACAGACACAGTCGATCTTCTGCAGTGTTCCTCTAATGCTTCAGTACACTTGGCAGGTCCACAAGTGTCCTTAAAGGAACCAGATTGTGTTGGAAGAGTGACCGCTGCAGATAGGATTGGTATGGCCAGAAGAAGGAAATAGGTTCAGCAAAGCAGTAAATAATGTGTCTGGGGTGGTATGGTATGGATTAGGGTTAAGTCAGAGCTGTAGTTGGAGAAAGAGATCTGTCGAATGGCAGGAAGTTTCAGTAAAATTCAGAGACAAGGAGAATGGAGGGGTGAACTAATCAGTACTTGTGCTGGATACACATCAGGCAGAAAAGCCTCTATGGAGCCAGGGCAAGAAGCAAATTTCAGGGATAATTGTCAATGAGTGTTGTTATGTCCATGGGAAATTGAAATGTCTGTTGCTGTTTTGTTTTGTTTTGTTTTTACCTTTAGTAGTTCAGCTATTTTCCAGTTAGTCCTATTGTGGGTTTATTCTTTGACCCTAAAACCTCTTAAATATCTCCCTGGTTCTTATAAGCACAGAAGGGTTTCTCCTCCTCTTGGTTTATTATAGTAGCTATCTCTTTATTCCAATCCATGTTACATACACTGCCAAGTTAATCTTCTTAAAACATCACTTGCCTCTTGCTAATTCCCTTAATTGAGAAATGACAATTGTCTTGTTTTTTTCCCATGATTTCTCCCAAACCAGCATCAGGAGCAAACCTGTTTTGTTCAAAAAACTATAAGTAATGTGAACCATGCCATTACTAGCTACTATTAACTCCCATCTGCTCATAAATTGTATCACTAATTCCTGAGAACACTGGAATTCAGACTCAAAAGTCCACTTCTGCAAAAGTAGGAAGACCATGGTAGACATCAGGTTAGTGCTTGGGGATATATTTCCTAATGTGGAGTCAATTCAAACACATTTTTGCCATCCAAAAAAAAATTGTTAGGTTTTCTCTGTTACTCAGGTAATGTTTTGTTTTTACCTTTAGTAGTTCAGATATTCCTTCCTTTCCTAAACCAAAGAAACCACACAATTTATCCAATATGCTTGACCTCTCCCAAAACATGTTTACATGAGCCCCTCTTTCTTGTCTTCAGTTCAGGTCAGACTCCTCATGGCCTCTCCTCTTGTGCCTTTGCTCCTGCTATTAACCAACCTCGGAAAAGCTCTCATACATCTGTCCAGATCCTACCTATACTTCTATACATACCTCAGGTTTTATAGTTCAAAAATGGTTGAATAATGACAGTGTCATATATTTCGACCTGATAGTTCAGGAAAAAGTCTCAAGGCTAAACTTTATTGGTCCACTTTAGATCTCATATCCATTATTAAACCAATCATCATGGCTATTAGGATGCAGTGCTCTCATGGGCCAAACCTGAGTCTTATTGTCCCACTCACAGAGCCATGTGGGCAAAAAAATGAGAAAAGACTAATTTCTCAAAGGAAATTTAATGTGCTGTCATCAAAGGGGGAAAAAACTGAGCAAGGTGTGCATATATGAGATACGAAAGGTAGAAATTTACATGAAGGTAATGAAGCTTAAACTTCAGGGAACTTCACTTACACAAGTTTCTTCTAAGACCATGTATCTAGTTTTATATTTAAATTGTTGAATATTTTTTAAAGAAAGGCCTATAAATTGCAAAAGTTCTGGGAACAATAAAACCTGGATGTACCCCTGCTAAAAACATAAATATTTGTAAAATTAATAAATAAATGTTCCCAACATATTGGGCTCCTTATTTTTAGTAGAAATGAATCATTTAGTGGACAATTCATTCACTTTAAATTCTTCACAATAACTTAGTGTCTTATCTTTTGATATTAACAGAAAAGAACTTAATCATCCACTTCAGATGTCCCCAGCTTCAGTATCTTAACATATTTTAACATACTCAGTATCTTAACACATTTTTCTCTGCCTGTGTCGCAGACCCACTCAGATAAGACCCTTTTCATTGTTTTTCACCCCCTCGAACTGTGTTTCTAAATGAAATCTGCCTCCCAGTATCTCCATTCATGAGAGGCCTGACCAGTTATAGTTGTTCGTGGATCACAATGTGGTTCCTCATAGCACCAATGTGAAGTAATGTGCCAGTGGTTCATGTTCACTCTAAACTGATATTCTCTCATAGTATTCTTTTTTAAAAAATTCCAAATTAAAATGAATTCTCTTAGACTTCCATGGAGAGAACATGAAATGTAAGGTATATCTTATATTGGAGTGAATCTAGGGTGTGAGCCTTATCAAAGCCATTCAACTATAGGGGAGATATGTCAAAATTGGATCTGGGTGACCAGAAAATGTGCCCTTGTTTTTGAGTTTTCCAACTGCACTTTAACCTTCTTCTTGGCAGTTAAGGCAAGGGGAATCTATCTACAAATGACAATTTCCACTTAATACCCCAGCAGGTGTCCAAGTCTATAGTCCTTTAGATGTGGCATTGCATTTTCCCATTTATTCCTTAGTTTCTTCCCTCTCTCACCTCCTACAAGAAATTTGGCATGGAGACAGGGCAGTGCAAATTTGTTGCCTTTTTTTTTTTTTTTTTACTTTTAATTTGTTGAAATTATCTCTAGGCAGAAGAAGGGGATGAGGGCAGGAGCCAGATGGTTGTAGCTAGAGTAGAAATCTACTACTGCAGAGCTTTGAGATTCTCAGATCTGGTGCAAGTCACAATTTTCTTACAGTGAAAAGGGATGAAATAACAGAATAGTGACAAAAGGCTTCTAGCAGATTGAGCCCCAGTGCCCCATTCTCTCCATCCTGTCTACACACATGTAAAAGGCAGTGTCTTTTCCATTCATTCTCCAAAGCCCCATCAACCATGGACTACAGCAGATTCTCTTAAAGGAGGAAGAAGACAATTCAATTATAATGAAAGAAATTTTTTATAATAGGACTTTAAGAATTTACAAATGAGTATCATGAATTTCTCTTTAAAGTCCTTCAGCCCCTCAGTCACTTTCTTCCTAACCACTCACCAAATCCCAGGCACTTGATATAACTAACCCTTAGCCCTTCCTTCTCCCTATGCACGTGAAGTAGAGAACAAATTGAGACTGAGGGAAAGAGGAACAATAAGGCTAAGGGTTAACCTCTTTTATCTTCTTATATTTGAGGAGATTCAGCCAATAGAAGATTCCTTTCATACTGCTCTCTGGACTATCTAAAGCCCTAGAAGATAACAGCACACAGAGGTCTGAAGAGAACTGATGGCTCCCTCCCCTAGTCTGTGATAAAGAAAACTGACTCTCAATCTTTTATGAAATAATATGTAAATGCAGCTGAATATCCACTCAAATATCCACTTGTTAGGTTTTGTTTTTCCTCCCCAACCAGACATATAATGTCTCTTCCAATACTATTCCAACTCTCTCATACCAAGGTGTCCTACAATTCAATTCATTTCTATCACTAACTACCTGGACTTAACATTAGACTCCACAGGTATATAAAGGCTCTTTCCCACAAAACTGCCCTTACTTTAGAGGCCAAAGTGTTAGACCCCCAGGTTACTCACTCTTCTGTCCAACTTGGTGACAAATGCAGGGATTCCAATCTCCTTTCTTCTCAGGTTCAATAATTTGCTAGAATGACTCATACAACCTGGGGAAGCACTCTATTTATTATTACCAGTTTATTTTAATGAATACTCAGGAATAGTCAAATAGAAGAGAGTCACAGGGCAAGGTATGGGAGTGGGATGCAAGGAGCTTCCATGTCCTTTCTAGGTATGCCACCCTCACAGCACCTGGATGTTTTCCCTATTGTAGAAATTCCCCAAACTCCATTCCATAGTTGTTTAGAAGTTTTTAAATGGTGGTTTCTTTATACTATAGATATAATTGATTAAATAATAGGGAACTCAATTGCTTATCCCCTCTTTTTTCCCCAAGGGTTGGGGAGTGGGGCTGAAAGTTCCAATCTTCTAATTAAGGGCTATTTTTTCTGGCAACAAGATGTTCCTGTCATCTTTATCCCTCAGGTAATTTCCAGGGGTCTTTGGAGTTCTGCTCCAGGAACCAGGTTATTTTATTACACCATGTCAGTGTTTAACTGTCCTGTTTAAAAAAAAAAAAATCCAGAACCACCCCTTTCCTGACTGTTTCTGCCTCTCCCTTTTTATGCACTTTCCATATCCCCTTAAGAAATTGACCAGGAACCTCTGATTTGTTCTTGATAGGCTTTTCCCCATGTTACTAGTTCCCCTGTGGCATAATTCTTTTATCTCTCTCCTCCAATAAATCATTCATGAGAACAAGCATCTTCAGAGCATTAGAGTCGAATGCCCCCTACTTGCTCTTCTTCCCAGAAGGATTTTAGGAAGTCAGTGGTTGAGAGTGAAAATAAGTGGCTGACACCTCATTCCAGTCCCTTTTCATATAGGCATCTGCTCCTCTTTCCATTGACCTCCAGGTTATTGATGCTCCAGAGAGGAGAAAGGATAATTTTTGAGGGTCCATGGAAGTATTTTGGCTCTTACTTCTTCTTATTTATACTGGGAAACTCAGAGCTGGATCCTAAGACTTGTCAATGCAAAACTGAGTTTTGCTAGTTGAAATGGGATGGGGATGAGGACCAATTTGAGTGAATGTCTCTGTGCATTCCACCTGATAGCCTCCCCACCCCCACAAACAACAACAACAAAAACAATTCAGGGAAACAAAGCTTCCCTTTTATGTCACCAAGAGATCTTTCTTTGAAGCAAAAAAACTCACTCCCTCCTGTGGCCCCAGACAGACTCCTCTGAGATGCTGAGGGCTTGAGCCCACGATGGCTCATTTAAAATCCTGTTTAGGTCCCAGCATGTGGCAATGTGCTCTACTCTGATGACACTTTTCGTTTCTAATAATAGAGCAGATGAAGTAATATTGCAATTGATGTTCCCTGGGATTTGATTGGATAAGTGTATAAACTGTGCAGGGGGAAGGGGGTTGTATGGACAGATCACATTAGTATTCCTGCCCTATCAATGTGCGGGGCCGCGACCAACGTCAGCCGGACCGATTCCCTGCGTCTACCAGTCCCGCCACGAATTCATTTGGGATCCTTAATGAGAGGAGAGGAGAGGAGTTCGCGGAGAAGGGATCAAGGCAACCGATTAGAGCCAATTGCCTGCAGCAGGGACAGTCAGCCCTTCCAGGCCTGGCGACCGCAGAGGGAGGGGAAAGAGGAACTGAGCACCGCTGCGGGAAGACACTGAAGCAAGAGCGACACCCTTTCCCGCCCCCCCACCTTGCAGCGCAGGCTTTGAAAGCTGCTCCCCCATCTGAATGGAAACTCGGAACCGTGGGGCAGCGCGTTCCTCCTCGCTCAGCCTTGCAATCCATGCCGAGAGGAAAGCGGTGCGAACCCACGCCAGCGTCCAGCTCCCGGGACAGGGCCAGCAATGCTGCTGAGCAGAACTTGATCGCGCCTCTTCACAGCTGGTAGTGGAAGCGATGCTGCAAGGCATAGCCAGCGCTTCCCCTGCTCTCCTTCAAGCTGAAGGTTACCCACCCGCGCAGGCAGCTCCAACCTTGTGAGCTGCGCGCCTCGGGTCCCGGCTCCTGCTGCTTGGCCGCGTAGTGCAGGGCAACCACCGGGCCGCCCGCGCCGGGGCGCACTGCACCAGCGGCTTTGGCTTGGTGGATGTGTATGCATGAGTTCTGCACCGAATGGGCGCAAAAAGCGCCCCAGCCGGTCCGCCCGCTCCTCCATCTTCCAGATCAGCAAACCCCCGCTGCAGAGCGGAGATTGGGAGCGCAGGGGCAGCGGCTCCGAAAGCGCCCACAAAACGCAGCGAGCCCTGGACGACTGCAAGATGGTGGGTGAAAATTGCGCCTCTTTTTTTTTTAAGAGGGGGTGGGGGAGTCGTGTATGTTAATTGTTCGCTTGAGTGCCAGCCACTCCCCATCCTCAGCTCCTCCATGCCGATCACGATCACGTGCCATGTACTATTTTTAAATCTGCATTCCCCCAGATTCGGGGTGACAGCCCAGTCGTAATGGCCCTACGGAGAAAAGTGCCACTACTAGGGTCGTGGGAGTAAGGGTCTGTGGTTGTGCCTTTAACCCCTGGAAGAATGGTGGATGTGAAAGACAGGGTGAACTAGCTCGCTCACAAGGAGGGAGGGGTTGGGGATGTGAGGGGGGGAGGGTGCTGCTTTGTGGTGAGACGGTAGCAAACAAACCCAAACAGAGAGCACGGGGCGCTGCGGAGGGGATGAAGAAACTAGCAAATCTTCTTCAGGCTCCAGAGCTAGAGGGGTTCCATGGCCAGGCAGGAGGTGACTGTTTTTGCCTGTTAACATCCTAATCTTTTATCTAGTGTCACTTCATATCCATGTCCTAGCAGTAGCAGAGGGGAGCATCTACGTGGGAGTTCCAGCATCGTTCTATAGTGACCTGGGAGTGGAATGATAGCTCTCCAAAGAAGCTCTTGCTCTTCAGAAACATTCTGAATGGGTGGGGGCAAGTGGTTGTGCAGATAGATTTTCCAGGATTAGGCTTGCTTATGGAAAATAAACATTTGCTTTGGATAAAGAGACTTTCCATCTTTGCGCCTTAACTTTTTAAACAGTCCTTAGGGTCCTTGACAGAAGATGTGGGGAGGTGGCTCAGAGGTCAGTGAAATTTCCTTTATGTACACCAAAATAGGAAACTTTCTGATGGCAAGTGTTTGGTGAAAGAAACTGGCTTCTTTTCCAGCTTGTCCAAGAGTTCAACACGCAAGTGGCTCTGTATCGAGAGTTGGTCATTTCAATTGGGGACGTCTCAGTCAGTTGCCCCTCACTTCGCGCGGAAATGCACAAGACAAGAACCAAAGGCTGTGAAATGGCCCGTCAGGCACACCAAAAACTGGCTGCCATCTCAGGGTAGGAGTTTCTTGGCATTATTTGATAATTTGTATATGAGGCATGGATACTGACAGAATGTTATTGGTGTCCAAGGCTCAGAGATGATCTTTGCAAATTCGGTATTTAAACCAATCACCCTAAGGTTGGAATTCTCTAGAGAGCTATAAACAAACTATAGGCCAAACCATAATCTGAAGGCTATAGGGGTCTTGTGTGTAGAGAGGTAGTAATAAGTGATTTATTTCTTTAAAAATTTAACTTTCAGTATGATGGCTGCATAATGGAATTTGGGACTTAAGATTTGAGGAGTGGGATTGAGAATCAAATTAAAGTTAAATTATCATGCCTCAAGATTATTTTGTCATCTGTTGCCAAAGAAAAGAGTTATGCTTTAGAGAGAAAATCTTTGCTAAATTTAAGATTTACCAAACTATTTATACCATGAGTTAAATTCCTATGATTTAAAATAAAATCCCTAAAATAAAGTCTTGGATATAAATTACTCTCTTCACTGTAATGATATTGAAAGTGAGGGGTTTTGTTTGTTTGTTTTTACATATTGGAGAAATTCACAAATCTAAAAAAAACCTAGGCCACTTTGTTCCTACAAGTTTTTCAAGTCTATGTAAGGTGATAATAGAGTGAGTGAAAACTTTTCTCCTGGGACCTCATCTACTCCTTCTTGATCTCCATATTGGGAGAAAAGTTAGCCAGGGACTTGTTAACAGTTGCTATTTTAAAGTACTTACAGCAAAGAAGCACAGAAATTCTTGTACAAATACAATAATTTAAGTGTTTGTTTCAGTCATGATATATCTTTATCTTTATATAAAGAAGTTATATAACTTCTTTATCATAATAGAAATTCAAATTAGTCAGATCCACCTACTAATGTTGTAAATTGATCACTTGTAGGAATTACATATAATTTCTTCTTCATCATCCTTAATGCCAATAATGACTATTACTGGTCACTATAAAAAAGACTGGAAAGCTCTGTGCTGCCTTTTTTACTAGCTTACATTTGACAATAGTCATTTTATATCAGGAGAAAAGATACATCTTTCTAATTTCCTGGGAGTGAGGGACACAAATGTACTTAATAGGAAGTGAATCTGGGAAGTGTATTTTAAGAAATGCAGGCCATAATATATTTGAGAGACAAAGATAATGTGACACATTAAGGGATAAATGTGAAGTGGAGAAAAAAAAAAACAAGAAACATGAGGGGAGAGTAATGGTTTTAAAAGGTATAGAGAAACAATGTCTCACAAGAAAAGCAGGTTAGGACAGGCAATTTTCCCCTCAGGGCTGAGGCATAGCAATTCTATAACCTTCATGTGCAAGAGTGTAGGATGGAGTTATATCCAGGATCCCTTTATGTGGAAACTCAAAACGAGAACTCATTCTAAGCAGAGAAAGTAGAAGAAATGAACAATTTCAATTAGAGTATTTTTCTGTACATATGAAATTCAGTTCTTCTAAATTTTAGGAAAGAAGAAATCTGAAACTATTGGCTGAAAGTTGAGTTTTGAGGATTTGAGGTAGATTGTATTTACTTTGTTGCTTATCTATTAACTGAGGGTCAATGGTTAAGGGGGGAATTTTTTTTATAAGAATTCGTGAGAAAATATGGTGTTCTTAGATCTTTGCAAAGGTAAAGCTAAGTTCCGAAAATGACCTAGGATAAAATTTGACACATTCCTCCCTTGAAAATAATTAAATGCAGTTTAACATTCTTTATAAAAGGTGACAGTGATATAATTGAAGGAAATTCCTCTGGTTCCTCACCTTCAGGGCTCCATTAATGAAGAATGTGATTCCCTTTTGCAGAAGTCCATTTCTGATATTGCTTGTTATGTGGCTTCTCATTTCAAGCCTGACGTGAAGCCGGTAGAGAGGCTGTAAGTTTCCTTTTACAGTATGAAGCTAGGGTGAGAATAGCAAAAGTTCTTCCAAAAGTAAAGAAAAATATTGGATTTCTTGAGTGCCTGCTATTTACTGTCACAATCCAGCTAATTCATAAAATAGGCATCTCAGGAGGGATTATTATTCTTATTTTACTATGAAGGCCCAGGGAGATTCAGGAAGTTGCTTAAAGACCCAGCTACAAAGTCACACCTTTGATTCAACCCCCATGTTTTCTTGCTTCTGATATCCATGCTCTTTTCTAATTATCTTTTAATGATACCATTTCAAGAGTTATGTAAAAAGGAAAAAATACTAACAATGCCAAAATATTGATAAATCTTAAAGAGAATAAGCTAACTGAAAAAAAATCTAGTCATAATCATAGTATATGATTATGTTGATATGCAATGCCCAGAAAAAGCAAATATATAGGGACAACAAGTAGATTAGTGATTACATAGTACTTCGATGGGAACAGGTAGTGACTCAAGATGGACTCAAGTAATCTTTTTAGAGTGATGGAAATATTCCAAAACTGGACTGTGGAAATATTCCAAAGTACAACTCTGCATATAAACTAAAAACCATTGAATTGACAACTAAAAGTGAGTTCATTTTATAGTATATAAAGAATATCTCAGGAAATGTTTTTTAAGACACCATCACCATACTTAACATTTGGTCTTTTTTGGGCTTCATTCTTTTCTACAGATGTAGCTTGTAGTGAAAGGATATAAGTTAGAGGGATGAAAGAAAAAATAGTTTTGCTCTCCACACATCCATCAAGATACCTATCTGATAGCTAGCCTCTAAGCACTGATGCTTTTGTAGGAGTACAGGTGGAAGAAAGGCAGGAGTTGAAGACATTAGTAAATTCACCAAAGAGTTAGTGAATTCATTGCTTACCAATACAGACTACCCCTTCCTTGTCCACCAGCTGAATCTGGGGCCAGAGGAGGGAGATGGGATTGAAAGTAGACAGGGTAAAAAGATGTAAGAGAGAGGAAGAAAAAAAAATTATGAGTCAGAATTAAGCCACAAATGCTACTACCTCCTTTTCATCCCTGATCAATTGAATCACTCCAGGTATGGTAGTAACCACAAAGGAGAAAACCCACCCTGAGTTTCTCATGACCACCCTGGGTTAGAAGTCTATCTTTCCCAACACAATCAAATACTTTCTCAAATGGTGTTAGGTCAGTAGCTGTTTCAGCAACAGCCTTTTATTTCAGAGGCAGCAAGTGTCAAGTGTCAAGCCAGGTGAATCAGAAGTCTTCTCTGCCTGATATGATTTACCAAGGTTACTAAACCTTTACAACTCAGATCTTTTCCTACATATTAAGGCCGGAGGGACCTTAAAGATTATTTGCACTGAGGATGTATCTCAGTGGTAGAGCACTTGCCTAGCATATGTGAGGCCCTGGGTTCAATCTGCAGTAAAACACACACACACACACACACACACACACACACACACACACACACACACACATTTGAAGATCACTTGCAAGAGTAGTCCCCCACCCCCACAAAAAAGTAGATGTTTTAAGCAGCAAATCTTTCCTTCAATCTAAGGAAATGTAGATTGACAACCTTTCTACATTTCAATCTAAATGTAGAAAGTCAAATCTAGAAGACAGGTCAAAGTAGCATTGCTATGTACTGTTTGAGGGTATATGTACGTATCTATGCACATGCATGCTTTCATATCAGTGGGTAATGGTCCAGACCCTGTCTCCTTGGACTTCCTTCCCAAAGTGACTTCTGCTCCAAGGTACTTTGTATTTGAGGAGTCTGAGATTCAGAAGATTAAGATGAATTTAGAGGCAACTTAGTAGAGTATACAGGAGATTTTGGTCAGACAGACCTGGAATAAATACTATCTTTTATGACCTTGATGAAAGTAATGTTCTATTAGTTCCTTCATCTGTAAACTAGTTGTTCTGTTTGCTCATGGAGTACTTGAGAGGACTAAGAGAACTCAATATGCAGAGAAGGGACTACATTCCCAGCCTGTCTGATGGACACTCTGCCTATCAGAGGCTGCCTACGACTGGAACCTGAGTCTTTTGCTCCCTGGTCTAGTGCCTATTCTGTCAAACATTCCACCAACTCCTGAGAATGATGAGAGCACAACACACAGGGGAGGGGTGACCCAGAAGTACCACTGTCCCTCAGCAAATCCCAGGAGCTGATGCTGTGGTGGGCTGGTGGTTAGGATTCCTGTCTAAGGCTGCTTCTGTGGTATCTGTGTTAAACAGAGTCTTCCTCATGCCAATACCTTCTGTTAATGGCTGCTGAAGAAACTCCAAGTGTGGAAGGGCATATGCCAGATCTTAAAAATAAGATTTAAGTATGCTAATGTGAGAGGCAAGATAGTGTAATGGAAAAGAGCATTGACTCTAAATCAGATTAGATCTGGATATTATTCTGGCTTTACCACTTACTAAGGGTACATATGCAAGTTGATATGCAAATTGCTTCACAGAGTGGCAAGTGGCCATCTGGTATAGTGGCTAAGTACATAAACTTGGGGGCCAGACTGGTAGTGCTACCATAGTTCACAACCTTGGGCAAAGGCATTATCTCTCTGCCTTAGTTTCCTAATCAGCAAAATAAGGTTAATAAATAATAGGACCAAACCATATGGTGTTTGCAAGGGGCAAGTATTTAGGAAGCTGCCTTTTATATAGTACATTTATCTTATTATTAAGTTTGAGTTGATGTTAGTATAATTGTGAAGATATGAATTTTAAGACATAAAGTTCAGGTTGTCAAGATACATTTATATAAAAATGTATATTAATCCACCAAATATTTTTCAGATAAATATTATGGCTGGAATAAATTTTTGTTTCTCTTTGTTTCTTACATTATATTTTGAGGAATTTTCTATGGTGAAATTTTCCAGAAAGCCACCAAAAGGCCCAGTCTTGAACACCTTACAGATAACATGGAGAAGTCATTAGGTTCAGACATATTTTCTTTGTTTATATCAACTTCATAAGTTATATAATATTTAAATTTTTTTAAATCTAGTTCTGTTGTAGCTTGTCTGGCATTGGACAAGCCCATTAAATTCCCTGTGCAACTAAATTAGAGGGTTG